TGAAATCAATTTGTGAGTCCACAGGATCATAACCCACTGGTAAGGATATCCAAACCCATCTGAAATAATCCAAATCTATAAAGAAATGAAATTAGAAATTAATTGAGGAAGAGTAAAGAAGGTTGAAGTGCAAGCTTTGTTTTGTTCTTTTGTTCTCTTTTATGCATCATCCCCCATTTAAGCAGATTTGTCGTATTAATTAATTAATTTTGCAATACCTTAAGTGCTTTACGCTATTGCAATATGCTTTGCAGTCAATGTTAACCATCCATCATAATTGTTTTATTATTTTTTTAATTGGACGTTGTAATTACTGTTTACATATTTTAAAAATGCCAATATCTACATTAATTAATTAATTAATTAATTATAGGTGGGAATTAATTATGGATCATGTTTTAGATCTTGTAATTACTGTGTGGGCATTTTTTAAATGCAAGTATCTTGACCATATTAAGGATCAAATACATATAACTTTAGGCAAAAACCATTGTATTAATTTTAACAACAAAGGAATTATCCCCGATTTATTTCCTCAACTTGATTCAGTTGAACTTAATTTAAAAACAAAAACTTTAATGGAACTTTTTTTTCATTAAAATAAGAGTCTATTTGTGAATATTAATTATTTTTTAGTACTGTTCTATTAGCTCTTAGCTTTTAACTGATAACTGTTTATATAGCGGTTTAAATTAAAATTGTTATTTAAAAATAATTGCTTAACTTAAAATGATAAAAAAATGATATTAATTGTTTAATTAGCTGAATTTGGAAGGAAAAAAAAATGATTGTCAAAAAAATTTAGTTAAAAGTTTAACGTTAGAGTATTTAGAGTTTCATAAAAAACTTCATCAAAGCTATTACAAAAGTTATATTACCAAATGCTACAAACAATCAATTAATAGAAATAAAGTTTTGATTTTATCGAAACGCTAAAAACTAGTTCAAAAGTTGTTGCCGAACAAGGGTTAATTAAGGGCATTAACAAGGTCACTTGGTGAAAACAAAACGTAACATATATAAGTAGAAGAAAATCAAGTTATTAATTTTTCTCGTTATATATTTTTATAAACATGGAGTAACAAAAAATGTGTGAAATTAAAATCCATCTAAAAGTTTGTATATATTAAGAAAACAAATTAAAGATAATCAAAAAAGGAGTGGAGAGAGAATCCGTGGTACGTTGTCATCATCGTTTTCGACGACACCTCTACCATAAGCGGAGAAGACAGCTCATAAACAAGTTATTGGAAATGTTGTTCCATTAGATTAATAAACATAAAACAAAAGGGTTTTCTTGTGTGCAATAAGGATCAATTCAACTGCTCTCTTTGATTAATTATCTATTAATAAATAATATATAAAGGTGACAGCTTAGACTCAAATATTGTAATGAGCATATGACTTGGTCACCTTAAGAATTTTTTTGAACACACTTGCTCTTTCTTTTATATTTTATTTTTTGGTAAGCTCAATTGTTTATGTCCTAACTACCTTTCAAGTTTCTCAGACTATTTCTTCTCCTTCTGCCTCTAGTCATCATCATTATCATCACCCACACCAGTAATTACAAGTTTATAAAATAATAATATAATTTTAAGAATAATAATAATAAAAAAAAACCTAGTCATGGTTGTTTTGATATTAGGAGGACAAAAGCCTCATTTTCCCACAAGGAACAATAAGACACAAGTCCTTACCTATTATGATTACAATCTTTTACCTAGTACGATAAGTCTTTCCTTCGTCCTTTACTTTATCTATTACAATTTTTTACAACCATAACAAAATTTTTTTTTTTATGGTGTTTACAGTAAATCAATCTTATGGATGAATATTGTCTGCATGTCATTAACTACCTGATACTAACATAATTTTGAGATAACTCACATGTAATAGAGCTATTATAATTCTTAAGTTGAGATCTAGGAGTAGTTTAAAGAGACGAGAATTAGACACAATCAATATTTTTAAATTACCATATTTTTATTTCTTTCTATTTAATTTCATTGAATTTTTATAAATACAATAGTCTACACATTTCTAATATTATATATTTATAAGCAAGTATATATTATTATATATATATATATTTTAAAAAAGATCTATAAGTAAATGCATGCAATTTATATACATTTTTTTTTCTTTTTCATTTTTATCATCAATTATGTAAAGTTTATTTTATTATTCTTTTTACGCATAGTTTACAAATGTATTTTAAAGCAATTGTTCATTGTTTATTTAATATCAGTTAATTTAAAAATCTTTTACAAAATTAAAATTATATTACCAGAACTTCTATGGTTTTGATCACTCGTACTATAATAAAATTTTCATTATATTTAAGACCTTATCAAATTGTAAAAGAAAGAGTATTAACAAATTGAAGCATTTATATATACTATAGTCTACTGCATAATTAATTGCCAAATGCATAAATTGCTTCATGTATTTTATCTTAAAAAAACTATGTAGCTATTAAACACTATTGAACACTTTTATTATTTATAAAATTGCACTCGTGAAATACTTGAACTTATAAAATTTTTCTATTGAATATTTTAATTTGTAAAATTAATAAATCAATTATACACTTATTGGATAGTTGAAAATGTGAAAATTATGTTCCAAAAAAATATATAGTAACTATACATCAAATCAATATTATGTATATAAAAATTAAAAACATTAAAAAGTTACCGTTGTTAGTCGTGAAAAAATGTGTAAAATTACCAAAATTCATAATTTCTCTTATAAAGTTTGGGATACTATTAGATTTTTTACATAATACAGTGGGGTTATTTGATAAAAATATTTACACCTTCTACAAACCCAAATGTTGGTTAGCTTAATTAGCATCACCAATATCTCAGAGCTCTTAAAGTCAAATGTTGCTAAATGAAAAAGCATTAGGACAAATATTGATCAATTAAAGACATTGTAAGCATATTCTAAACTAGGTGCATTAAGGAATCAAATGCAATTCTCTAATAAGATTTCCAATTCATAAATTGTGGAGGCAATGCAAACACACTTTACTTCATCAGCTATGGAACCCAGACAGAATGATCCATTCCCAAATGGAGAATAAAGTCAGTTGAAATTAATTACTTCTTTTCAATATATTTAATTCTGTCCTTGTCCTTGGAAACCTAGCTAGCTAAACTTTTATAAAAAACTTACATTTTTTAGAGTGATTAAAAAAATGATTGAAATTCATTAATTTTCTAAAAATACACGATAAAAATGTCTAAATTGCTCTTCTTAAACGTTAATATAAAAATAAATTACACCTAATAAATATAGGTAAAAATAAAAAAATAATAATTAATATAATCTCAAAATAGTCAATGAGCACTTAAATTGCAGTGGAATGGAGGGATTATTAAATTGCACCCTAACTTAATAACCAGTAGTTAAAGAGCTGAGATTATATAAAAGAGCTGAGATTATATATATATATATATATATATATTTATATATATATATATATATAATATATTATATATATATTTATCAGCACTGATATGAGGATTGAATTGACCTGATCCATGGCAGAAATTAATCATTAGAAATAGCACTGTTATATATATATTTACAGCACTGATATGAGGATTGAATTGACTGATCAATGGAGAAATTAATCATTAGAATTAGCACTGTTGTGTACTTAAATTAACTTCAAAACAGCAGTAGCATATAACAATTGCATTTTCAAAAGCATCAATCTATTTCCTTAGCTAGATGAAGCAGATATCATATAACCAAACATTAGCTTAACTCTAACAAAATATTATAATTATACAAAATAGTATATTTGGGTTGGGTTAGGATATACTAGGAAAGTCTTTTGGCTCGGGTTTAGATATTAGTATATGTTAAATTTTTACTGGACACAATTAATTAGTAAAAACAATCTTATTGCTGATAAAAAAAAATACTACTACAACTAAATACCCTCTAAAAAGGCCAATAATCCCTATCGCAATATACTGAAAAATCATAGCTTAAAGGCAGTAAACATATTACCTTCTTAGCTAGAGATAGAACCATTATGCATTCTTTTGACCTAATTTAAGTATGGGAGCTCCCTGAAGTAGAAGATCTATACAAGCATGCTCAATAAAAATTTGGATGATACCTACTATTTCAAAGATTGGGTATTTGAGTTCTTTACTGAAGATAAAAAGATTAATTTCCCTAGCTAGTATGAATAGAAAATGAAGAGGGTTGAGAATAAGAATCAATGCAAATCCTCTGATGCCTTCCTATTCTCAATTGGGTGTCTAAATGTGTCTGCAAAGAGGCTTTGGAGTCACCCTAAAATCAAAATTGCCCAAAAAATACCCAGAAGAGTTGAACTTTTGCTCAAATAGATGAAAAGAGAATTTAGGCCTCCTACTTAAATGGAATTGATCTGCTTGATTACATAAAGCTAGTTAATTACTAGAGGAGTTGCTTCAATGGAAAAAAAAATGGACAGAAGCAAAGTTTGTGTGTGTGTCTATATGTGTCATGGGGGGAATAGTTTAGATTAGTTAGTACAGAAATTTAAACTATTGTGTGTTGATTAGCTGATTCCCAAGAGAAACAGATCAAGAAAATTAAAGTCAAGCTATTCAACTTGTAAATGGAACTCTCATGCTGCTTATATATTATACACATCATCCAACCACAAAAGGAATCCCCATTTCTAATTAAAAACCCTTATCTGTATGTTCTTTATTTTAATTAATACTGTCATATTTATTCCCTACTGAAAACAATGCAAAAATAATAATAATAATCTTCTTCTTTTTTTAAAAAAAAAAAAAAAATTGCATTCCCATATGCCAATTCCCACAAACAAGTGTTTATTTCAAAGACCAAAATTCGTGTTAGAACTTTTTCTTTTTTTTTAATGAAAAGAAAAATAGTAGCAGAGAATAAGTCTAAATATGACACCTATAGGTGAAATCCAAAGAGGAAAGATTGGAAGAAAACCCTAGTTACTACATGTTATTGCTACTAATAAATTTAGTGGTTGATTGCAGTTTTCAATGAACACATAAAAAATATAGTGATACATTCGCAAACCCATTTTTAGAATTAAAGAGAAAGAAGATAATAGTTCCACAATGAACAAGGAGATGACTGTTTCCAGAAACCATAGAAAAGAGAGTACTCTAAAATCTAAAAACAAAAAATTGAAAAGAAAAAAAAAAAGAAGAGAAGAAAGAAAGAAACACCCTAAAAACATCACAGGAGATAAAGAAGAAGATGAAGAAACATGGTGATGTGATGATGGTGAATACAAGAGTCCATGAAATTAAGCTAACCTTAATCATCCAACAAAGCCCATGATCGATCTCGTCTCACTATGTATGAACTGCTTCAAATCCGAAACAAAAGCTACAAATTTGGGTAGCTTAACGTGAAATTCTTATTGTTGTTGCCTTTCTCTTAAAACGGAGTCCTATTACCGGAGTTTCCTGCCCACCCATCTACCGGCAACTGCACATTAGGGGGCATATTGAGTGGTAAATTAAAAAATGGCAATCCACCAGATGTCGCTGCTGCGCCATCAGGAAAAGGGTTATTCCCTACTCCACCACCACTACCACCGTCTCCACCACCACCGCTACTCTGCATCTGCAACTGCTCGTCTTCTTCCAAAGGTAGCCTTTCATATGCCACGTTGGTGAATGATGCAGCGATGACTATTACCGGTCCAGCTGCGGTCAGCTCCCCTACAACGCTTCCTCCTACCACCTGCCCTTGTCCTCCGGCGAGAAAGATTGTAAGACTAGTTGCGCCAGGTGGAGCTGGAGGAGGCAAGAAAGATCCGGATAAAGATAAGATCTCAAATCTTCCATGTAAAGTAACAATTGCTCCGGCGGCTGCTGGTTGTCTTATGCTTACATTAGTTACCGTTCCAGCTCCGCTAAGTATGCAAATCCCCCGCTGCCGTCTACGGGCGTAGTTTGCCACGCATTCAAACACATCGCATCCGCTACCTACTTCAAGAATGTGAGCTCGTAAGGTATTAGCACTCTCTCTAGTTATTATGACCGGAGGTTTGGGTTTATTTTTGGAACCCGGTGGACGACCTCTAGGCCGGCGGGCGACGATATCTCCTGGCCCGCCAGAGTTTGCAGCTATCCCGACTAGGTCGAGGCCTTGATGAGTGCCGTCTTCATGTTGTTGATGTTGGTCAGAGGAGAAATGAGAGGCAAGAGCACCACCAGCTCCACTGGCGCGATTGGAGTCGTGGTCTTCTGATTCGGGTTGGCTTTGGAGGTGAAGATCAGGTCTGTGGTGAAGCTGGTGAACGTAACGAGAAGTAGTGCCTAAATCTAAACCAGCCATGCCAACATCAAAAGGAAAGAAAACAGGAAACCAAGGTGAAATGAATTTTTTAAAAGGATTAAAAAATATTATAGATGATTAAAAACTGTTTGTGGGTTTTGTTTGATAATTTAATTAATAATAGGATAAGATATTTAGAGTTTTTTTTTTTAAAAAAAAAAAAAAAGAACAGAAAAGAAGGGAAAGGAAAGAAGCTTCAGAACGCCAAGGAAATAAAAGATGTGTTATGTGTATTTTGGAAGGAAAATCAAACAAGAAAAGAGACAGATAGAGGAGCGACGACTGCAGAGAAGGGAAGGGAAGGAGGAACGAAAGGGGAGAGAAAGGGGACAAAGACTCAAAACGCAGTTATTTCTCTCATACCCGAAAGTTTAAATATATTTATATATATCTATATAGAATAATCATTTGTTTAGAATTTCTTTTTTAATTTTACTTTATTTTCTGAGTTGCAGGAACAAGAAGGCTGATGCTACTCTTAGTCTCGCAGACAAAGTTATGACTTATGAGTCATTCCCTAAAACTCAATTTAAAAATAAACATACATCGTAGAAAAACTCATTATTCAAACCCTTTTTTTTTTTTTTTTTTTTTTTTAAAGTTATGACTTAATGAGTCCATTCCTAAAACTCAACTTTAAAAATAAACATACATTCGTAGAAAAAAACTCCATTATTCAACCCTTTTTTTTTTTTTTTTTTTTTTTTGTTTCAGAAAACTATTCAATCTAAATTTTTAAAACTTAATTTTCCGCCCGGATCACATTCTTTTTGTTCTTTTTCTTTTCATTTTCAATCAATAAGAAAATATTTAGTGACACTCGAAAACATGTATATAGTTACCTCATTTCATAAGAAAAACTCATTACCACTTAATAATTAATTGTCATTCCAAAATATTATTACTCTTTATTATTTTTTATCCCTGCTTTATTATTTTTAGTATTAGGAGAATGGAGATTCGAATTTAGATCTAATATCGGGTCGTAATGTTCTTACCATTAAATTATATTTTGATATATATCCCTGTTTTTTTTTTAATAAAAAAGATATTCATATTTTTATTTTACACCACACATCATTACTAGATTTGCCATTATCTCTATATATTATATTGTGTTATTCTAATATATATATTCTAATATATATATATATATATATATAATATATATATAATAAAAATCAATATATATAAAAATATATATATAAGCCTCCTTATTAAAGAAAAAAAAAACATAGCTATATTTGGTAATCCAATTCATATTACATAATAAACATAAATCATGTGCATAATATACAAAAATTGTGATAAAAAAATGAATTCCTATAAATAATTTAAAAAACAGAAAAATGACAACTTATTTTATTAATTATATCAATCATTTATATTATTAAAAATACTCTAAGGACATTTATAATTATGTGTGTATATATATCTATATAGATAACATTGTGAAGGAAATTCAATGTATTTTACCATATAAATTTTTATGTGAAGAGAGAAGGGGATTGCCATTAATAAGTTAAAGAATTTTAACTAAACTTATTTTAAGAGCACTAATTAAAGAGAAACTACTTATAAAATATGTTTGGCTTAACTATTACTTTCAGCTCCTAAAGAGAAAATAATATCTCTTAAAAAAAAGTCATGTAATTTTTTTTTTAGAAGAAGGGAGGGTCAAGTAAGTAATTAATTCAATTTAGTCTATCTTTATTTTTGTAAAATAACTTGTCTGAAAAATAATTTTTGAAAAATTTTCAAATGTTTTGCGTGCTTGTGAAAATCAATCAACCGAAAATAATTTTTATGTCAAATGGAAACTAAGTCCTTTTGGGATAAGACTCGTCTACACTTGGTGTATAGATAGTCACGTACATCAAACAAATCTGTAAAGGTCTTATGAAAAATTGTGATTGTTTTATCTTTATTTTTCTCTGTAAATGACTTTTCATTTTTAAAAGGGAAATTTTTTTTCAAATACTAATAAATTTATTATCATCTTATAAATACACCACCAGTGACTGATGGTGATCACTACCGGTCACATCCACCAGTCCCGAACCACCACTAGCGATCTTTAACGACTATTAGAATTTATCACTTTCTATGCACTTTTTCATATTTAACAATAAATTTTTAAAATATAGAATTTCTTATAAAAAATTTTTATGATTTTATAAGTTAAAAATTTTAATATTTTTTTAAGTAACTTTCCAGGTTACAATCAAATAGTAAAAAATGAGTTATTTGGAATCCTTGAAAAAATATTTTCAAAAGATAAGTTATTTTGAACAAAGTATTTATAAATCAATTTTATATATAGTATTTTTTTTTCTTTTGCAAAAAAGAGTGTATTCCCACATTTTTTATGAACTAGATTCACTTTTTTTTTTTTTCGAATAACTTGCAAACTATATAAATGGAAACCAAGTTTGTCTTGCGACACAAAAGAACTGATGGAAGATGGTACTTCTTCTAACATAAGTGACAGAGCCAATTTTGTTAGAGAATGAGCTACCTTATTTCCTTCTCTAACAACATCAGAAATCATAAAGGAATCACTGAAAAATAAAAGGCAATTAAAAACTCTAGTACTTAGTTCAATTCGCACAATTACTCTGTGGACTAAGGAAAGACAATCGCATTTTAGCACAAAATTTTTAAAACCCAACTTTAAGAGCATTTCCAATGCAAATGTCACGCTCGACTCTAATCGCCAGAGGATTTGTCTACTTTGGATCAAGCCAAATCCTCCATACAAGATTGGCAAGACCCGCACGGTTTTGTCCCGCAGATGCAAATGTCATGCTCGACTTTAATCGCCAGAGGATTTGTCCGCTTTGGATCAAGACAAATCCTCCATGCAAGATTGGCAAGACCCGCACGGTTTTGTCTCGCAGGTGAAATGGAAAACTTCCCAGGAGGTCACCCATCCTAGGATTTCCGTTAACGAGGTCACCCATCGTAAGGAGTTCCGTCGTTTAAGCGAGCATGGCTTAAACCCGTGGAGTTCTTCCAAACTCCATCCAAGCCATTTCCACCAACAATCGCGCCTCTGCATGATTAGTGGTTCCCCATTTTCGACAAAAGGCGCCTCTGATGATTAGTTTCCCCATTTTCGATATATGATTTGATTCATTCATGTGTCTGTATTCCACTACCCTAGCTAGCCTGCCATCCTAAAAGCTAGCCAGGAGCTTTGCACTACCCGCCCTCTTAGGATCGCTTTGCCGAGTGGGACGTCATAGGCCCACCAGCATCCGCGTGGTTTGTCCTCCAAGCATACATTTATTGGAGGGGGTCCGGCTCTGATACCAACTGTCACGCACGACTCTAATCACCAAAGGAATTGTCCGCTTTGGATCAAGCCAAATCCTCATACAAGATTGGCAAGACCCGCACGGTTTTATCCCGCAGGTAAAATGGAAAACTTCCCAATAGGTCACCTATCCTAGGATTTCCGTTATGCGAGCACGCTTAACCCTGGAGTTCTTCCAACTCTCTAGCCATTCCACCAAAAGGCGCCTTTGATGATTAGTTTCCCCCTTTTCGATTGATTCGATTCATTCTTGTGTCCCGCATTTCACTACCCTAGCTAGCCTGCCATCCTTTGCCATCCTAGCCTTTGATGATTAGTTTCCCCCTTTTCGATTGATTCGATTCATTCTTGTGTCCCGCATTTCACTACCCTAGCTAGCCTGCCATCCTAGAAGCTAGCTAGGAGCTTTGCTCTACCCGCCCTCATAGGATTGCTTTGCCAGGTCGGGATGTCACAGCAAATGTAGATTGCTCTTGTTTAATTGCCACATCAGAACAATGAAAAAGTTTTTGAAAAATACTCTTCAATGCTAATGTCTATTTAGGATGTCAAGCTGAGGTGTCAAAAAAATAAATAAACATTGTCTGCTACATCTTCTATTTCTAGATGGTCTCTTATGTGAGCATTTATTGCCCTTTAGCGATTGGTTGTATTTCTAGATGGTATAGAAAAGAAGAGAAAAAAGAGGATGGAAGCGGATTCAAAACTAGTGCACTGGAGAGAGATTTTTAAAATTCAATGTCTATAAATAGACATTCAGCCACATCACCATTCACGCCTTCTTTTCCACATGACGCATCAATCACAATCCACATTAGCATTGGAGATGCTCTAAGGCTGTAAAGACGGCAAATGACACTGCTTCTATTTCTACTTCTTCAGGAATTAAATCATGATCAACAAGACGTGAACTGCTGGCCAATATATCTCCATTTGAGTCTCTAAATAACTATACCCATGCCACATTTTCCATCGTCTCCTACTATAGCATCACAATTTATCTTGAACAAGCCTGTTATGGGAGGTTGCCGATCACGATTTCCCTCCGTTTGATTACTAGATGGGCTGAGATTTTGCTATTTCTAGAATGACCATACTGACAAAACTTGATTTAAAATCTGTCTTTGAAAGCTTTTTATTTTGATGCAACAACACGTTCCTTCCTTGCCAAATTGGCCTGGCCACCATGAACAAAACTTCAGCCTGATCAGGAAGGAAATTTGTAGAAATCGACGTTACCCAATCAGAAAAAATAAAAATTAACAACTGGCCTCAATTATAAAGGACGCAAGAACCACATCCACTAGGATTGAGGGCACTCGACCAACATATGCACAACTGATTCTTCCTTTTCTCCACAACGATTGCAGATTACATTAACAACAACATTTCATCTCAATAATTATGTTTTAAGTGGAATTTAACTTTGACAAATATGGTACATAAAATGTTTAACTTTAGGTGGAGCGTTTTGTTTCATAATTTTTTCCAGAAATAATTGTTGGATTTAATTTTCTATTGTGGGCTTAATATGTAAAATTAAATATGTACAGCAGTCCAATTGTAAAGTCAATTTCAAATTGTAAAATTAAAATATTCAGCAGTCACACACTCTCGCTAGTACAATTTCAAATGAGTCCTTGATTGTGAATCAATTGACTATGAGCGTATGAAACTAATATAGATATTAAGATGTAAGAGACCTATTTATATCCTATTTCGTTAAAAGGACCCGAAATAGGAAATCTGTACTAACCTACACGGTATACTACAAGGTCGTGGTCCCAGAAGGAGTTGAATATCGATTCAGTTTTTTACGTTGCCTCTTCGTACTGCTCTCCGCACACTCGTTCTTCAATCTCTGGACCACGGCTGCAAAACCTAATTCTACACCGAAGATCGCGACGAACAAGCGATGTCACGCGTACGCAACTTTCTTATCATGCATATTTTGTTGATCATCTCACGCTCGTGTGCAATGATCTTAGGTTATTGGTGGATTATTTGAGTTTAATTCAT